AGAAAAGGCACCAAAAAAGCACGAGAAAAGGCACCAAAAAAGCACGAAAAAAGCACGAGAAAAAGCACGAGAAAGCGCACGAGATTTTGAAAGCGGGATTGGTGCTCCGAAGATTGTCCCCGCGGAAACGGTGGATCAGGACACCGGTGGTCCTGGGACTCCGGGGGTGGCCCTGGGGGAGGGGGTTGGGGAGTCTGAGCGGGTTGGGGGGTCTCCTGCCTGGCAGGTTCTTCGACGTTGTGCGTGGCATGGGAAAAGAATTTCCATGAGCCATGTGAGCGTCTCCTGCGAGACATGCCCATGCAGCCCATGCATATGATGCAATATAAATTAAGGATATGAATGATATTATTATATAATATATTCATAGCTTTTGGGTGTACTAGTCTAGTAGTAATAGTAGTGGTAGTAATGGTAGTAGATGTAACCCAGTGCAATGTAACTCAACATCAGGTTGGTGAAAGACTGGGAGTGAATGAGATGAGAGGGCCTTCGGGAGTGAATGAGATGAGATGAATGAGATGAGATGACAGGGTTCTAAACCTGCAAACTTCAAATCACAATTGAAGATGGTACCTTGTTGAAGTGGCCTGATTTCAGTTTGAGATTTCTGGTGCTTTTTCTCTTAGTAAGTTTAGTAGGGAAAGCATTTTGCGACTGTTACTGGGGGGGGGGCAGGGTCCAAGGTCTGACTATTTACATGCCCTTCAACTCTTGCCTGGGAGCGAAGGATCCCCTCAAACATGCGGTGTCAACTTGCAAAAACGATACGTTGGAGGAGCCTGCGTACCCTTTTTCACAGTCCTATGAAGCTGAACAACTTAGAATGGTTTCTCTTGAAGCCCCCCATTTAATTGACATGTCGAGTATTAATTCATCCCCATCCCACGATTTCTTCCAATTATGTACTGGCCGTTGATTAAATTAATGTATTCTTTTATTCCTTCTCAATGTTCCCGAAAAGTTTCATTCTGCGCCAATCATATCACACAATGGAGTCTGTTTGAGACGACCTGAATCATCTTGGTAGGATTTACATATCATCACTTCTGAGTGGTTGGTAGGATTTGGGTATGATAACATCAGAATAATTTATGCGCTGAGTGGTTGGAGTGGTTGGTATTAGAACTTGGAAATTATTTGATAGAATGATTTAGGTTGAACTTTGAAATTCAGTTATGTGTTGAGTTGGGTCGTTGGTAGGTTTCAAGTATGATTGCTTGTTGCTTATGTTGGATGTGCTTCACTAGGGATGGACCAAGTCAATGTCCAAATGTTTTCATGAAACACTGGCTGAGTCAATTACTTAGCTACAACAAAAAAAACTCTGTCTGACAGTGTCAAGTAGTCAATGACTATGAACAGTTCATAAGCAAAACACATTAACCAAAAAAGTCATTGACAGGAAGAGTCATTGCCAACAGGCGAGTCAGTGACAAACAGTGTTTGATTTATCATGGTTGGTCATTGACAAGTGAACTTCCATATGAGTCATTGACAACATGATAGTCACACCCAAGTCTAAAACTTACCTACCAATCATGATATGTACCTAGCAGACTAATTCATGTCTCAAGCAGACTCCCATGTATGGTTGATGATGAATGGAAATGAAACTTTTCAGGAACATTCAGAAGGAATAAAAAGAATACAGTAATCAGTGGCCAGTGCATAAATTACTATAATATTCCCCCCTCATGCTTCAAGCGGCCCCAATCCCGCCTCCGGTGCCCGGAAGCGGGCAGCCAAGTGCCGCAGCATGGCCTCTGCCAGTCTCTGCAGTTGTGCCACCGGCGCCGCCGCCGAGGCATCGAGCACCACAGCACCGAGGCATTGCTCGGCGGCTTGGAACCTGTGGGCGAACCGGTGAGAAAACGACCGCTTAACCTCCTCGGTCATCGTCCTTGGGGATGAAAAACAAACACGTTGAAATCGAAGGAACAGGTGCGCCCGCGCTTGGCAATCTTGGTTTGGGGCGTCTCTTTGCGGTATTTCCTGCCGAAGACCATCACAATCTGCCCACTCTGGGTCTGTTGGGCGGTGCACGCCAGTGAGGCCAAGAAATCATTTCTGGGCGCATCCCCTCCGGGGTGCTGATTCGAACCAAGACCCTTGGCACAACCAGGGTGCTTAATATTACTATTAAACCATTACGGTATATGCGGTATAATGGATATTATATAATCATGATTCCACCAGACCCAAATGAAAAAGAATCACTCCTGAATAGGACGAAAATGCCTTAATGGTGAAAAAAGGCCACAACCTTCCCGTTCGGGTGCAAAGGGAGTCGGGGCTTGCTGCCACCATCTTCTTTGCCCCCACAGCCGCCTAGGCACTGAGAGAATGTCACTTGATCCAAGGCCCGCAGCTGATCCTTGCGCCGCAGCAATCGACCTCACCACGTCGCTGGTACTTCCGGGCGCGCGTGCGTGATGGCGACACAGCTGAAGAATGCTTCAAACATTTCAAGACAAAACCAATACACAGCACGCACAGATGGTTGTCTCCCCGCATTTGGTGGTGCCAGGTTGATCCAAGTCACATGTCTCCAGGGCGCCATTGCCATCCGATGGCCTTCCACACGTGAGATACGTGTCAGCTACGGCCGCTGAGAAAGACTGGTGGAGTTGCTCCACAAGAGAGAGAGAGAGAGGGAGAGACTACTAATTGCATGCATGACACTTGGAGCTCTTTTGGCCTCCTGCGTCGTCACATGGTGGTGGCGGAAACAACATGTATTATAGCTACTAGCAACATGAAGCTACTAGGGGCTCCTGGCCTTACTACTAGGAGCAAGGACGCTACTAGGGGCTCCTGGCATCGCTACTAGGAGCAAGTAGCTACTAGCATAACCCAAATTGATTTTGAGCCGTGTTTCTTTGGCTGGGCACATCCATCTAGAATCAACCGGGCCCCATGGAAGCTTGGGGGCCCCCAAAACCGGGCCGCAGGGCGACTGGAGCTCGGGTTCCCTCCGAGTCTTGAGACGTTGTTATTGGCAAAGACCTTGGTGCAAACACCTCTAGGATCATACAGCTCTCTCAGGAAATCATGGCGTGGCATTGCAAGGACCTACCAAAGCTGGGCACGTCCTTCCAACTCCAGAGGGATAAGGAAATTCATTGGATCTCAAGACAATTTCTGGATATTTCTGGATGCGGCTTGCGTCCTCATCTATACCTCCCACTCTGAACTCTGTTCTTTTGAGGGCTGCTTACGGTTGCTGTGACCCTAGCTCATACAACAAAAAATGCACCTCAATCAATCAAGGCCCCCCTCCACGGCCCCTTCAAACCCCAAATCCTGGGTCCACTACACAGGTGCTCAACAAATGGAGACTGCTACAATGCTTAACCTGCATTATAGTGAAACATAGTGAAACACATGGATGCAACATTATGAAACTAATTACCTCTTTGCTACAAGCAGTCGAGTTTCCATCCGCCAAGGGACACTAACATGCTCACCGCCAACATGCTTCGTCGCAAGATGCTGGTCATGGGGTCTGTCTGGGCTTTCGACCTCGAAGAGGAGCGGCGCACCACCGGAGGAGACTCCACCAGCCGGAGGTGTTTCTTGCCCTGGTAACGGGGGAATGCCAGTTGGAAGGCATGTGAACAACTTAGCACCGCTCCGCGAAAAATCCAATAAACGCATGAAAAGAACAGCTGGATATTCTGAATAGTCTAAGGGTTGGCCGTTCATGCCTTTATATAATGGTTGATACTATAGACGTGTCCCACACAGCACCAATCCCATCCTGCCTCAACAAACGCAGGAGCCTTGGCTCCTCAACGACCTGGTGCAGTCATGACGGAAGAAGTGAGCAGCGACTGGCAGGGGGTAGCAACAAATCACTGGGGTGGGGACCATTCCCAGGAAAGATGTCCTTCTATCAGTCGTTCACTGTTGCAGGTGTTGTGGTCTGCGGAGTTGCATTTCAGCCCTGAAACCGAGGCACAGCTTGCTCATGCATAGGTTCCCTCGGAACTCGGTTCATGACATTCATTTTCTCACTACGTGTGGCCTTGGCATCAGCCTTGATGTTACGTTTGCGTTGAACCAAAATCACGAGGGACAGTGATGTCCAATCAAGCCTTTGATCCCTAGAATCTAGACGGGACTTGCCGACTTGCCGTGTAGTCTCATCTCTCTTGCCGAGGATGTCCCCTTCCGAACCTTGTCTTCAGAAGGAACACCTTTGCAATACCAGGCACTATATATATAAGTCTGTCAACGCAGCTTCACAATGCTTCACACACTCACACACACATGATCTGTACCCAAGCCTATGTGTTTCTCATTCTTTTTTCATGCTCCAGCTGCCATTCCACACCTCAAAGATTTGTACCCTGAGTGCGGGGTTCCTGAACGACTCGCCATGCTCACAATCCTTCTGTCTCATTTGCCTTCTCAAATTGAAGTTCCGGTGAAGTTTGTCGCATTCGAATCATTCGATGCGCTCGGTTGACTGAACTTTTCGTTGCACCTCTTCACGCAATGTGTCAATCGTTGCTTCACTTTCGCATCGCCCAGACCTTTGTCGAACTTGGATTGGAGTGCTTCCTCAATGCAATCTCGCACACAGCTCCGGTAGTTGTGAGAATCCAATGTTTTTTCATCCTTTCCACAATACCAGCGGTCATCATCAAAGTAAGCCTTAATGCCCTCTGCACTTTTACCCAACTTTTTCAAGTCCCGTTCTACTTTCTTGTATCCGTCGATATTGCAGGAGGGGTCGTGCTCAAGGACTTGGTCAGACACGGCAACGTTATAACCAACATGAACTGCATAAATGAGGCAAAGGCAAAGGCAAAGGCAAAGGATGAACCACACGCACAATCCGCCGTTGATGAGGGTGCCAATGCTGCTAGGTCCTTGACTCCGAGGTGCCCGGGCAACAGCACCATACCCTTCATCATCTTCACCCACTAGAGTTGACAGCGATATGTTCCGTACCAGTGGCGTCGCATGTAGCCTCTCTTGCGCCACGTATTGAAATCGCGGCGAACGAAAGACCCTCGCCATGGTGCCAGTCACAGCTTGCTACACTGACAAACTGGTGCCAAAGCTGCCAAAATGTAGTTGACCAATTTACTTTGAAAGCTTATTCAGTCCCTGAGATGGGTTGCTGGATGAGTTAGACAAGGACTTACATGTAATCTGCAAGTTCCAGGTCACCGCGCCCCGGATCACACCGGGGACATCGATTCCTTGTGTCGCGGCATCGGTCCGAAAAAGTCCTGGACCGCTATGAGCACATGTCAATTTTCCAAGGGCTCTGAATGGTTGTGGAACTTTGGCCAGTGTAGTCACCTGTCGAGGGATGCAACTCTACTACTAATTATGACAGCGTAAAGGCAAACACATTGGATGCTTTGATTGTTTGTTTCTTGACTGGTGTCCATCAACCCAGGGGTCATCAGATAGTCCGATGAAAAAAGCATTGGTCAAGGACTCAGGATTCGATATCTGCCTAAGACGGCCAGCAATAGAGGTTTAGGGGTTGAAGTGGCTGCAACCGTTCCCCGTCTGCCGCCGTTCCCCGTCTTCCGGCACCTTGGCCCAATCGTTCAAGGATTCCACCAACTCCTCGAGCAAGTTCTCGGCCACGGGATCCAAGCGCTCTTCCCTGGCAGGGAGATCCATGGGTTCTTGTTGGGGTGGGTCACAACGGATGCGTGTAGAATATACAGTGGTTCCAGAGCAAATGGAACAAGTTACCCCAAGGTCGGTGGTTTAGTAGTGGACCTACTAGTCGTGGACCTCTATATAAAAAACATCTTGGGATGCCACCTACTCTCAAACCACAGTATCTGTCTTTTGTCACTCTGAAGGATCCAACCTTCAGCACCAACCCTTGGAACACTGTCGCGGCCAGGTGGTTGTTACCAGGCGGCTTTGTGACTAGAGTGTTTGTTGAGTGCAGTTCCAAGTAAGCATGACTACCCACAAAGCCATGAACCTCGGCTATAGGATTGAACGTCTAGTTAAGGGCAGCAGTTCAGTGGTGTACCTTAGCTACCCAAACATAAACCACCGCACGCCACTTTGTTTCGCAATGGTTGATGATTTTAGATTTCTTCTGGCCCCTGACATGCAGGACATGCCGCCTTTTTTCGTTCTTTTGCCTCAGGGGCCGGCACGGCCCCTCCGAGCAATGTGTCTAACGGCAGGCAAAGCCATCTCTGCACCGAGCGCGCAAAGGTTAGCGAAATGCCGTGGTTGAAGGAACTGGTTGCCTTGGTCGGCATGAAAGCGGCAACAGCCACTGTCAATCAAAGATTTTCTGAAACAAATTCAGATGGCCAGGTGATGGAGAGTGGGGGCAGCAACTCTTGCATGCAGAGTGTCTCTTTCCTTCTTACTGTGAGGGGTTGTTCCTTCTGGTGGCCAATACCAGGTAGACCAGCGCAAAAAATGAATATGGCTGGCCTCATCCGAAGACTGGCTTGGGGATGGGGGTCTTGATTCTGGATTGATTACTGGTCTTGTCACAATGTTGCTTTATGTTTTCCTGGACTGTCATTCTAAACGCACCCCAAAACGCTTGCACTTGGGGGATCCTCACCGTCCGCAAGTCCCAGTAGTCGGGATCTGTCCTGCCCAGCCATTCGGTGCCTGTCCCAAAGTCAGGGAAGCGCCGCCCAGGGCATCTGCGGGCGCAAGTGCCTTCGCACCACATGCCTAAGGGGTGAGCCAGCCACCCCATGGTGGAGTAAATGTGTGCTTTTTCTTTTTGGTCAAACGCAAACATGCAGTGTCAGTTGCAGGAGTTCTTGAGTGTATATACATATTATATAAGGCTATATACAATGTATTGCAATGTGATGTGAGATGTGTGTGATTGTGTGATTGTGTGTGTGTGCGCACGCCATCTTCGTGTAGCTTTTGCTGTTGTCCATCTTTCAGGATTTGAATCGAGCATAGCAAGCTGCTGCTGTTTAACTCAGTTGTTGGAGGAGATGCACTGTAAATGAAGCTGACGCTCTGAAGCTCTGCAGTCCAAAAGATCCAAAAGCGGAGCTGTTCCCGTTGTGAAGCCGAAAGCACAAGCGCCGTCACTGTGCTATGTTGGGCAAGTTTTCTTCACAACTCCCAAACCAAGCCATTGATGGGTTGTGTGAATTCCGGAGATGCTGAGGTCGACGATCCTCAGAACATGTTCTTAACATCCTCAAAAACATGGTGGTGCCGTCAAGACGGGAGAAGGGCCGCCAGGAGCAGGCGTAGGGGCTCCAAGGACAGTGGCTGTAAATTAGAACCTGACCAAGATGGATCGTTGTACTTGTCAACAATTAGCTGACACATCTCAACATAACTATAGGTTGAAAAGTGCCTTGCACGAAACATGTGCAGAATGCTCAAATTACCTTGAAATTATTGAAATGGTTGGACGTGAGCTTCAACTATTCACTATTCAACTGTTCAAGCTGGGACTGGACATTTGCTTTCAATATCCTTCATTTATAGGTCCCTCTCACACAGCTACAGCAGCCAAAACCTTGAACTAGATTCATTCTAGATCCTCACGCACCCAACCGACATGAACTCCAGGCATCCTCACCCACCGAGCTATTGGACCCTGTGAGCCCGAGCGTCCGTTCATCTCGCACCGCCGGGGGCGAAGGTCGTCGGGTGACCGCGGGCCAGAGCCAATGGCAAAGGAGCTGCCGGGAGGCGGAGGCCTCGCCACCGAGCCGACGTACATCGCCGTAATACATCCAGTGTTTGAGGCACAAGTAGAAACATTGAGAAACTGATACGTAATCAAAAAACACAGGCTGAAGCTGTTCAGAAAAAGAGATTGCAACAGTGGCCTGGCTCTTCATAAGCAAAAGAGGTGCCAAGGATTGTGATTTGAGTAAAGAGCTTGGATCGACCTCTTCCACAGGCTTTCAGCCTATGGCAATGGGTTTATGAAGGGGCTGGGCATGTGGCGTGTGATTTGAAGAATGGTTCGGACTGTAGGAGAGTCAAGGTGGATTGCAGTGGATCAGGAAGGACCTCGAGTGACTAAGGGATGAGCAAGACTTGACCTAGTTGGAGACAGCATCACAGGGCCATCCCAATCACACTTCCAAATCACAGGGACGCCCCAATCGCACCCTGTCCAAAAAAGAACAAATAGCAATGTTAAGTGTAAAAGCAAATTTGATATGGATGGGAACTGTCTCACTCCCAAACACCTACTTCGCCAGAATTGCAAGAGCCATCCTAGAGCAGTCAAAACATCAAATTATAACATTGCAAGTTCCACACTCTCCAAACTTGCAAGAGGGTGTCTTTTTAGCCAGCTTGTAGACCCTACTTCCCATCCATGATCTCACAAACTCTTTTTGCAAACTGCTGGTCACAACCGAGCTTGCATCAGAACAGGCATTCCACCGAGCACCGAGCATCTGGCTACAGGGTTTGGGGTTTGGGCTTCCCATCCAGCCCTGGTGCAGCCGAAGCTACGGCCCGTCCAGGAGTTCCGATCGACTGAGCAGGTCCCGCTCAGAGGCTTGGTCACCAGGGGCCAAGCGCATGCCTTGAGACGTTTTGTCCATCGCTGAGATGGTTTGGCTACGGTTTTGGCCAATTGACAAATGTGGGTGGAATGGGAAACCATGGAAAGCCTTTCAATTGTCTTTAACCAAAGTGTTTTTTTTTGGTGAATTATTAACGTTGCCATTTTAAGTTTCGGGTTCTCTTTGTTCTTTGCTTTCTTTGTCACTCACTTCTTCTTCTTCTTCTTCTGCCATCTGTGTCCGCACTGGCGTGGCTGGTCTAAACAGTATTGTTGGGGATTGTCTTTTGGAGGGCCCTTTCTTGTGCAGCAGATGCAACAGCTCTTTAACAGCACTTTACGTTAGTCAATTTCTCGAAATGACTTCTTTGACTTCTCTCACACTGGTGGGAACCATTCTCTTACTGCTGAGCCCTACTACAAGTCCTAGTTGGTACACAACTGTGATGCGAACAAAGCACCTTGAGAAAACATGTGCACATGAATAAAATAAACGTCCGCAAGGCATGAATCAAGGTATAGAACTTACATCTTGGATGTTCAGGTTCCCGTCTTCCAACACCCCCGCCAAAGGAACGGATATAGAGAAGCTCCCCCTCCAACGCAGCCCCGCTGGCATCGGGCTCATAGCCTCAACTGTAGCTTCGGATGGAGGCAACAGGGACTTTGGCCCCTTCTGTGCCTTGTCATTTTGTTTGGCAAGCGGCACACTCACATGTCACTGGCCCTTCAGAAGGTAGAAGGAGAAACGAGAAAAGAAACTGAAGCGGCAATTTGTGCTGACCTGTCGTCTATTTATTGCTCTTGCACTTCTGGCAAGGATTTGCATGATTTATGATACTTTATGATCGTATAAGCGCCCTTCCCTGCCCTTGTTGCTTTAAGTGCTTTGGCTTGAAGGCCTCCATGAATGGAAAAGAATCCTAAGAAATGAACACAAACTAGGCCTGCATGCAACAACTAGGAAGACCACATACTGTAAGCAAGCAACAAGGGCAACAACATGCAACCAATACATCAATTGTTCGATGGCTTTGCACAAAGCTCGATGCTTCTTTGCCAAAGCTATCCTCTAGCATCGCACGTGCTTTCTTGTTGGAACTAGTCAGTGGTTCTCGGAAACCTTACTCTGCAACTCTCATGGTGTTGATGACCAACAAATGTGTCTTGCAATGATTTGATGCATCAAGCATCATCAAGCCATGCAATTCTTCTAGTCAAATCTCAAAGGGATCCCATCAGGGGGTACACAGAAATAAACTCTGCCTCTCGGCCAATCAGTGAATAAGCGAGCATGAGCTACCTTTCGAAGATCTACACAGTTGGTTCCAAACTTCAACTCAGCGATACAACATGAAACAACTTAAACACAAACCTTTTACTTTTTACGATCTGCGATGGGCCCAAGTCGGCAGTCGACAGTGTGCAAAATACCACAGAAACCTTTTCAAAGGACTTCAGACCCTCTCTCAGTTTTCTGCTGAAGAAACCAGTCCTACTCTCAGAACCGATTCCCCTTCCGAGTGCTCTTCAGTTGGCCGCTTCCAGCTGAAAAAAAAAGGAAAGTCATTGAACACTCTCCCAGGTCAACGAACTGGCAAATCCTCGGACACCCCAACCCTCTCGCTCAGGGGCGGATGCCCAAACGCAGGTAGGGTTTGTGGCTCTCTTTCACCTCTGCCATCGTCAGCTGCACATCGCGGCGTGGGTCATCCACGTCGAAGAAGGAACACCTAAGACGTCGTGAATTCGCACCGAGCTTCTTGCTCCTAGTAGTAAGGCACTTGTTACTAGAAGCGATGCACTTGTTACTAGTAGCT